TGTTGAGCAGCGAAGAACTCTTTCATTTTCTTCATTTCTTTCATGTCATCTTCTAAGGTAGACAAGCGCTCCTGCAAGGATTTGTTTTCCTCATTCAAAGATTTGTTTTCTTCTCGAGTTGAACGTAGCGCGGACAGTAATTCAGCATTTGAAGAAGTTCCACTTTTCAAGTCTTTCGCCTTTACTCCACCCCCAAAGCCAAATACATGGCTACGAGTTTGAGGTCCACAATATTTTTCTATAATCTTTATGCTAGGTAGAGATGGATCTGATTGAATTATTCTTTGATTTGAGCCTACAAAATATATAAAGATACATTTAAATCAGAATCCATAATACTTTCAAGTAATTTACAAATTCAATTTACCAAACATACATGTTTTTCAATTGCTTCAGGTTCAACAAGCTTGTTATCTTTCTTACGGGTCTCGAAGAAAATTGTTGCCAAATCTGGTGGATTGCCATCTTTTCCGCCCTTTATATCAAAGGCAAACATGTCAAATAACAGCTCGTAAATATTTTCTTAGGAAAATAAAGATTTTATGATAATACCTTTTGATAAATAATCTCTCGAATAGGCTTGCTACCAATGTGATGAAGCATCTTCAACTTAGCTCGATTTGCCGCATTCATGTTGCTTCTCGCCTATATTTGTGTAACATTAAGCTTAAATGTAATAAATTTAATAAACTTAAACAATATACTCAGGTTCCAGATATAGTAGAAAAATATTTGGTGCTAGGGAGGGAAATCAGGCTGCAGATACTTTAGCGAAATAGATTATTAAATCATTAGGAATACCTGAAAACTTTCTGAAGAGAAATGTTCCTTTATTAACCACTCTCCTTCTTTCTTGTCTACTCCCTTTGGAATATTCTTAAGAGCCTGTTGGATTGGCTTATCCTTCACATATTTTTCATGCAAGTGTCCTCTTGTTCCATAACTCTTTCATCCATCCGAAGATATGATCACGATAATCATTCATGTCAACACTCTCAAATTTATCCTACAATAATCAGAATATGGGTTGAGTTTATATTAGTTCAGTTTTAGTAAATCTGTTGCATTTTGATCCTAGCTGTGCATTTTGAATCTGTCGCATTTTTAGTATGTGCTAATAGTTGTATTTAATTTGAAATTCTATCTAGCAACTCTCCAGCAGCGGAACTTTTTATGAAGTCAATTGAATCAGTTAACAATCTCCTACAATTATACAGAGCAAGTAAAGTAATTGAGCACATAAGTTTAGACAACTAATACTGCTACCGTATGCTTGTGGTAGCTGGCAACATAAAACTGGGAATAACTCATTCGTCAGTAGAGTTAAGTGCATACACTTTTAAAAAGTTACCGAGATTAAAGAGTCAGATGTCTTTAACTGAGATTTCCCCATGGTTGCTATTTTATCCAATACCCAATACTTGAAGCTCTGTTCAACAGAATCTTCCATTTGAAAGGGAAAATGGTTTTGAAGTTTTCAAGAGATCATACATCACTATAGAACTTTCCTTAGAGACCTTAACATATTTTTTTGTTTAACCAAATTTATTTCCCCATGGTTGTTATTTTATCCAATACCCAATACTTGAAGCTCTGGTCAACAGAATCTTCCATTTGAAAGGGAAAATGGTTTTGAAGTTTTTAAGAGATCATACATCACTATAGAACTTTCCTTAGAGACCTTAACATATTTTTTTGTTTAACCAAATTTCTTGGTCAACTGACACTGATCCGTGCTGTACTTATGCACAGATCTGTTGTTCTCTATTACTAAAGCTCGAGTCCGACACCTTTGATTTAAGGGAACGGATCCCAAAGATACCACCACACTTGTCTTGTCGTTACCTACCTTGAGTTGTAGAGGGTTAAATCAGTTATGTATTAGTATTTTAACTTAGGCCAAGTTTGGACCAACTACACCTTTGAACGTCTGCAAATATTCTACTTGGACAATAATTGTCACATAGAAGAGTTACAACTTAAAAGTTAAATATCAAGTGCCAACAAAAGTTACCCTAAGAAGCAATGAATTTTGAATTGAAGAATATTTAAACAGCAAATGCCATATTTGTATCCTCATGCCCAAGACATCTTATATGCCCTCAAAGACAAGAACTGACCAAGTGCACGTTTAGGAATATTCATATGAATAAAACTGGGTTTCTCTTCACCAGATTAGTTTGATGAAATAATATGCTCTTGCGAAAGAAAAAGAAAAGAGCATGAAGAAGAGTAATTGTTTTAATAAATAGGCAGCAAACCAGAAATTGTTCTATTACAGTGTGAGATTCACTTTCCAGTCTACTGCTTTCAGAATTGCTTAGACGTTAACCTATAGTTGCTGGTTTATCAATAGCCAATAACTGTAAGCATTATGGTATTTGCATCACATGCTGCCAGCTAAATTTCCAATTGCCAATTAAAAATACTAACAATTATCAATCAGAGATTCGTTTCACTCGTTTTGATTCATACATAGAGGCACAAATAGGAACACAGGTATGCAACTAAATAATATGCATCTTTCCTGTATAAATATTATTTCCTCAGTCATGTAGATAAATTTTCCAGATTTATCAGCCATGTCAAAATTGTTATCTAGCTGCTTAGACTTAAATTGACTCAAAACGCACAGTCATACTCTTGGAAACAAACTTGAATACACTTCAGAAAATTAAATTATCAAATCAGGAATCCCAACACAATAGTCTTTCCACTGATTACATAAACAAAAAATAACAGATAATGAAATCTTACTAATTTTTTAATGTTAGAGAATAAAGCTGCAATCAGCGAAATCAGAATAATTAGAGAAGAAAAAGAGCAACTTGAAAGAGGAGGCATACCTTGAATTCTCAAACGAGCGAGATGAAAACTAGGGCAGAGTTGAATTCACACACGACCAGATTCACAATTTGTGTTTTGAGAAAATACAGATAAACAGAGGGTTTACTGTGTTTTGATGGAAACAGGCGCTAAAGCTAGGCGGAGATTAGGGCAGATCTTTGCTATGTTTTGATCCTAATTTTTAGACAATAATAGCTTTTTAATATTTTGGTATTAGATTTGGCAGCACTCTCTCATACTGAAGGCCTCTCAATTATAATTTGGGACCAGTTATTTTTTTTTAAGGACCAAATTTTATACCTTCCCAATAAAATATAGCATTAAGGACCGCAATATAATCTCATCCCAATACATATATTATTAGCGACAGGATATTAACTCGTCCCTAAAAGTTGGTCGTAAATAAAACTTTTTCTTGTAGTGTTTCTCTACACTCTAGAGATCGACTCAAAGAATTAAGAGTTAGTGATATTCTTCAAATTAATAAGTATAATATCATCATACGTATACATTTGAGTTTCCTTTTTTTTACATGTGTATATATGGTTCGAAGCAAAAGAACTAAATTTAATTGAATCCACCACCAAATAAAAAGTCGCTCTAAAATTGCCTCAGTCATCACTATTGGTTCCACCTCACTCCGTTAATCCTTTTTGTTTTTATTTTTTGTTATATGATTATGATGTGATAATCTCATATGTTATCTAGACTTCTACACTTGCAATTTTAAATTCAGGTAATTATCATTCAGTGACTTAGGCAAAATTTTACAGAAGCGGTGTCAGACTCTTGTTGCAATTTGTCAAGTGGGTTTGGATTAAGGAGTATGATGGTTTTAGAGTTTTTATTTTATGCTCCGAATTATAATTTCCTTCTGCTGCATGTATTGCTTAATTTGTCTACAAGCTACAGCCTCTCTCGTGTTATATTATGTACTATAAACTTGCACGACGTATCATTGTTTGTATTGCCAGGGATGAATTTTGCGCCACAGAATAAATCTGAGGAGCTAAGAATGTTGTCAACAACAACATATCTTGTTGAAGCAATTAATTTTTGGCTTCTAATATTTCGATTTTAGAATTGATATCCTCACCATTTTTCTAGCAGTTTATGCATGCGTGAACATGTCAAAACAATGTATAGTTTTATTGTCTAACGATTTCTAATGCTTAATCTTTTTTTTTATCTATGTTTGTGCGCAAAGGCGTCTCAATAAAACTCGTGGCCTAAAGTCAAATTTTAATAAATGGCCTTAATTTGTTATTTTTTGTCTATAGTATAGTTAGCTTGCAAAATATAGTATTAATATTACATTGGGTTTTTTTTGTCTGTTATGAGATATCTTATAAAATATAATATTAATATTCACATTGGTAATAAAATTGATGTTAGCCATGTATTTACAAATTGTTACCTTGGATCTTATTGTAATAAACGTTATTTATCAATATGAAGATGTGAGTATCTTAATTCAAAGCTCTAAAATATTCTTATTGTTAAAAAATATATAGTGTTTCTTTCTTTTTTGTAACAACCCGACCGGTCATTTTGAGCTTTTGCATTTCGCTCGCCAGTTCTCGGGCATGGCTAGCCCCGTGTGATGTATTATGACTTATATAAATTGTCGGTTTTGGTTTTCAGGTTAATTGAAATGAATATGGAATAACAGTTTTCATTTTGAAACTTAAAATTTGAAAGGTTGACCAAGTTTTGACTTGTAAGTAGATGACCTCGGATTGGAATTTTTATGATTTAGTTAGCTCTGTTAGGTGATTTGAGACTTATGAGCGTGGTCGGAATGTGTTTTGGAGGTCCGTAGTAGATTTAGGCCTGAATTGGCGAAATTGGTATTTTGGCGTTTTCCGGTTAATAGGTGAGATTTTGATATAGGGGTCAGAATAGAATTTCGGAAGTTGCAGTAGCTCCGTTGTGTCATTTGGGATGTGTGTGCAAAATTTCAGGTCATTCGGACGTGGTTTGATAGTCTTTTTTATCGAAAGCAAAATTTAGAAGATTTTAGAATTCTTAGGCTTGAATCCGATGCAAATTTGGTGTTTTGATGTTGTTTTGAGCGTTTTAAAGGTTGAAAAAAGTTTGAATGATGTTACGGGATATGTTGGAATGTTTGGTTGAGGTCCCGAGGGCCTCGGATGAGTTTCGGGTGGTTAAATGGGCCAATTGCATGTTTGAAAAATTTCAGATTTGGCTTCAGTTCTATTGCAGACTTTTGTTCTCTGCAATCGCATAGTAAGGTTCGCGATCGCGGAGGTCTATTAAGGGCAGCTGGTAAACTTGTCTTATGTGATCGCCAATTTGGGTTTGCGATCGCAAAGGTCTGTGGTTTTGGCTATCCCGACCGCGTGGATAGGGTCGCGATCGCGAAGAAGGATTTGAAGCGGTCGTGAGGTGAAGGATTTTCTCTACGTGATCGCGTAGTGAGGGCCGCGTTCGCGATGATTGATGAGTTTGTTGTTCGCGATCGCATGTGTTGTTCCGCGATCGCGTAAAGTAAGTGAGGGGTAGTCCATTTTTGTGCTTCGCGATCGCGAGGCAATTTCCGCGATCGCGATTAAGGAATTTTAAGTGCTGGCAGAATGTTTTAAAAGCTCATTTCCGCGATTTTGAGGCTAAGTTCCTTCATTTTTGGGCGATTTTGAAGCTTCTTGAAGGGAATTGAAAAAGGAATCAAGGGGGAACACTTGGAGGTAAGATTTATGAACTTTATACTCGATTCTTATGTGAATTCTACCTAATTAATCATGGAATTTAAGCCTAAATTGAAGAAACTAGGGCTTGGAAACTTAGACCTTTGATTGAGGATTTGAAGGACCATTTGTGGTCGGATTTTGGAACATTTAATATGTATGAACTCGTGGGGAGATAAGGAATCTATTTATGTAAATTTTATCGAATTCCGAGATGTAGGCTCGGGGGTCGGGTTGTTGGTTAATTTCGGGAATTTCATTGTTTTTCGATTGTTTTCGAGTGGGCTTTTTCCCTTTAGCATATTTTGATGGTTACGTTCTGATTTTGGTAGATTCGGAGCATCCGGAGGCCGATTCAAGGGGCAAAAAGGCATCGCGAGCTAGACTTTGGGCCGGATTGAGGTGAGTAATTATTTTAAATGTTGTCCTGAGGGTATGAAACCCCGGATTGCACATCGTGGTGCTATATTAAGGTGACGCACATGCTAGATGACGAGCGTGGGGTCGTGCACTGTTGTGGATTGTGACTTAGTCCATCCCGAATGATTGTTTATCGCATATTTGATTGAAAACTATTTGTTATCATTATGTTTTGGGCTGAATGTCATATTTGGGCCTTGTGCCAACTATTTGGACCCTTAGGGGATTTTTACTGATATTTCCTCACTATTTTTGACTTTATACTTGTACTCGGTCATGTTATATATCACTGTTTTCATAACTCAGCCATGTTTACTCTGTTTAAATACATTTAATGATATTTTTAAATGATAATTGGGCGGAGCATCATGTTTTACTGTTGCCCGAGTGGCTTATGAGATTCTGACTGAGTAAGGCCGAGGGCCTGTGTTGTGAG